CTTCAAGCAAACACGTGAGAACAAAACAAAAAAGAAAAAGAAAGTCTCCCTAACTTGAATTCGCCCATGCTAAAATTAAAATCAAGAATTCACCGTGACACCCCCCGGCAACGGCGCCATTTGATAACCGCTTTCGCGGCGTTGTAGTAAAACGGAGTCTAACCTTTCGGTTTTTCCCCGAGTATCGTGTCTCTTGAGGAATGGCGGAGGAGTTTCTTGATTTTAAATCCAATCACAGGTTATCGCAAATTATTGGAAGCTTTCCAAATTAAAACTTTTGATTGATTTTATAAACTAACTTTTGAAAAAGAAAGTAAATTAAATTATGCAAAATACTAATAATGGCTCAAAATAAACTAAATGAAAAATATAATATTAAACTCTAAATGCATTGATCAAAGAAGGGCAATGAATTGAATTATAAAATATGGGTACATCCTTTTAGCTTGGACCTAATAATTAGGAGTAAATAAAGATTGGACTAGTAATTTCTTTTCTCATTGACAAAATTTAAGTTACTTTCACTAATTTATCCTATTTCGAGGCTTCATTAATGTGTTTAAAATGGTTGGCCTAAATTATATTCTAATCTCATAGACAAGATAGATATAACTTCCCGCATTTTAGCTAACAAAATGGTCAACTTCATTAATTAATTATATTTCCCATATTACACAATTGAATTTATTCCTCATAGACAAAGATTAAATTCTATCCATTAATTTATCCTATCTCTAGGCTTCATTAATGTGCTCAATATGTTTGGCTTAAACTATTTATAATCTCATAGACAAGTTATAAATAATCTTCCAAAGTTTAATTAATGAAATGACCAAATCTATTAAGTAATCAAATTAATCATTTTAAACAACTAGTCCATAAAATTAGTTAAACTCCTAATTTTAGGTCAAACAAGGTCAACCCATATTCTTTAATTCAACTCATGCCCAATAGTAAATTAACTACAACAACTCATTACTAGTTTTAACGCTTTACATATAAAATAAGACATGATCATAAATCATAACAAAATAAAATATTAAAGTGAATACTCCCAACATCTAAACTTTTGTTTCTATCACAAATAAACATCATTTATACTAGGTATTGAGTTTATCTAAGTAGGAGATTAATATAACAACAAGAACTATTTTTCTTGAATAAATATGGAAAATACGAAATTCTTAAAATTAATGCATAGAATATTTCACTAACATTTGGAAAATAAAAACAACATATTCAGAATCTATACGACGAGAAGATGAATTTTCATATAAAGAACTTACAAATTGGAGCTAAACTGAGAGAGATATGAAAGATTGAAGTTGAAGGTCCAACAATGGTGGAAATCCGAGCTTTGAGGAGGAAGAAGACACCCTTTTTTATCTGAGTTGGATGTGAGATGGTGTGTTTTGAGTTGGGGATGGAAGAGAGCTTTTATAGTTGGAGTTTTGTGGAATGCGGCCAGAAGGGCGGCCGCCCTCCGGCCATGGTCAGCAGCCTTCCATCAAATCACCGACAAAGCTGCGTGCACGCGTCAAATCCGCTGCAGGCGCCCATGGAGGGTGGCCGCCTATTTGGCCGCCTCCCGTCTTGTCTCAGCGATCGGCAGCTCAAAAGTCACATCGCGTCGCAGGCGGCCACGGAGGGCGGCCGCCTTCCGGCCCTTTTCGGCAGCCTTCCATTATTTTGTCGCCATGCAAAGTCCTGTGTGCTGAAACTGTCAAAAACTCGTAAGCGCCCAGAACGGCGGCCGCCTTATCAACCTCCTCACGTCAAATGGAACAGTCGTCTTCACCAAAGTTGTATCTATCTTTCTTGGCTAACTACTGGTTTTTTCATTACATTCATTGGATTTGTAGTTTATGAGATATGACCAAAACGGTGAGCATGTGTCACTTTCCATCGCAACTGTACATGTCTGACTTCTTTGAGCAATATGTCCATTCTACGATTGTTATTTGGTTCTGTGTTCTTCATAAGATTTGTAGAGAAAGAAGATTTCAATGTAATGCAACTCGTATCACGAACGTTGAGCAATCATGCGCAAAGTTATGATGAAAATACGAACATATGTCTCTATGCATCGTCCATTTTCATCAAAAGTGGCCATATAGGCGACTTCTTCTTGGTTTTGAACTTCCTTTCATGATTTTTTCATCTCGTGGACTCTTCTTTTTGAACAATTGGTCAACATATCTTTCAAACTTCCGTAACAATTCATTTGTTGGGAAAAAATGCCACATTCTTCACGCAATTGACCCGAAATTTCGCCAAACATATTATGAATGCGGTTTTCACCTCATTTCATGAAACTTGAACCAAAATATCTAAAACGTGCCTTGTTTTTCTAGTTTCTATCTGAAAATCGCTCAAATATGATGAGAAAATTAAGTACAAAAATGGACTTATCAGTCAGGCCAGCCCTTAAACAGGTCAGCCCTTAAACAGGTCAGCCCTTAAACAAGTCAGCCCTTAACGGGCCAGGCCTTAAACAAGCCAGGCCACACGTCCCTGACAGGCCATCTGGCCTATTCCCACCCTTAACCGGACTAACTAAAGACGAAAAATGAATTCTCCAAATATGAGCTCCATGTACCCGAGCTCTGACCTCACGGAGCTCGTGTCTCACTAACCAAGTGTGGCTTAGACATTTTGATAATCTTATGATGCGCAAGTCACCGCCACATCACCAACACTGCATGGAGTGCCACGTCATTCCAGGCGGATAAAAGTAAAGAATATTTCGGATAACACACGTATGACGCACACGTGTGTTCTATTATAATTTTGTTACACGCAGTTCTAATCAGTCAGATGTCACAGTTATCTCTACGATCACTTTTGCACGTGTCGCCATACTATTAGATTAGTTCATTTGTTCTGTTAGACAAGTGTGACACGTTTCTTTACCACAATAGAGTAGCATCTTTTTTACTTGTTCGCCAAGTATTTTTTCTCTTGGTATAAATATCACCTCTTCTTAAATGCAGGTATGCGGATCAATGATGAGGTAAACATAAACATATTCTCTTACACCCTATTTATCAATGATCTCAATCATAAAAAATCATAGTGGTTGAAACTTGAAAGTTACTTCTTCAAATTGGGACGGTAGATCCAAATTCCAAAAATCATAGTTGTTGAATGTTACTAGTAATTACTAGTAATCAAATTGTACTCGTTACATTATTTCATATGGAAAGTTCATACTACTAAATCCTTTGATGTTGTTATGTACTATTTTTAATTATACTGCTGGAAAATCCTTATTTGGTGATATTTATTATATGGCATCAATGGTTGGGATTTTTTTATGAATTAAAATTTAAAATTAGTTATTTATTGAAGAAAAAAGGTGCAAATAAGCTCTCGAACTAACCGAAAAAGTGCAAATCACCCCTTTTATAGGAGGTTCTGTCTCGCCGTCTCCATTTGGAGCGGTTACCGGTGAATTTTTTTTATGAATTTTTTTGAGCATCTTCTTCATTAAGTGGAAGAATACTGCGTTGTTTAAATTTCAGGTAAAAATTCAACCGGGAAGGCAGTCAAATGATTTTCTGAAATATACTGCGTTGTTTAACTACGCAGTTATCTTCAAACATTTATTTGACTACCTTCACGATTGAATTTTTAGCTAAAATTTAGTATGGATAAACAAGACTTAATGAAGAAGATTCTCAAAAAAAATTCATCAAAAAATCCACCGAAAACCGCCTCAAATGGCGTAAGCTAGGGGTAGATTCAGGTCGGGCCGGGTCCGGGTCGGGCCGGGTCCGGGTCGGGCCTAGGCCCGAGCGGGCCGCCGGTTCTGAATAGGTGGGCCCGGACCGGACCGGGTAGCCACCGGGTCCGGGCCGGGCCTCGGGTCAAGTTTTTTTTTCCTTTTCCTAATTAACCCCCCTCCCACCCCCAACCCCCCAAACCACCCCAAATGGCCCAAAATACCGAGCCCAACCCGAAAAGTTAAAAAAATTGAAAAAAAATTAAAAAGCCCAGAACCGGGCCTGAACTAGCCAGGCCGGTTCGGCTTTTGGGTGACCCGAGCCTGCATCGGGAACTCCAGGCCGGACCGGTTCAGCACACACAAAGCCGATTCCAGGCCGATTTCGGGTCGGGTCACCCGACCCGAGTCCACCCTTAGCAAAAGCCGGACAGAGCCTCTTATAAAAAAGATGATATGCCCTTTTTCCCTTTTTTGTTGGAGGCTTATTTGCCCTTTTTGCCCTTTTTCCCTTCATTGAAAAACAAGTACAACCTTACGGCGTCATCAGCTCAACTTTTAATGTGTGGCTTCCTATGTGCCTAGAACTATGGATGGACTCGGGCCGGGTGGCCCGACCCGGGACCGGTACTGCTCCGGCCCAACCCGACCCGATGGCCCGGTCAGTGACCGGTCCGGGTAGGCCTGACTCGTGGGGTTTACGGTCCGGGCTCGGGTCACCCAAAACAAGGCCCGACCCGGCTGGGCCCGGACCCGGTTTGGGCCAAAAAAATTTTTTTTTCAATTTTTTAAATTTTCGAGTTGGACTAGGTATTTTGGGCCATTTGGGGTGGTTTGGGGGATTGGGGTGAGAGGGGGGTTAATTAGGAAGAGGGAAAAAAGATTGATAATGGGCCCAGACCGGACCCGGTGGTTACCTGGGCCAATCCCGGGTCCACCACTTCTGAACCGCCAGCCCGCCCAGGCCTAGGCCCGACCCGGCCTGGACCCGAGTCCACCCCTACCTAGAACTTCAAAACTCAAAAGTAGATACAAGGAAGGCAAGGTACGCACTTATTTTAGTCCAAAAACCCATTTCGTAACCCTATTTTTCAACATATGAAACTTTTTATTTCACACGCTCAATTGTGAAAAGGTAAGATTGAAATTACTTTTCTAGCTATATTGATTGAAGTTACTGTAGAGGATCATTTTAGCCAATTTTTCATATAATTTTCTTTATTTAATTAATAAAATATATTTTCAATATAATTTTTCATAAATCAGCATAATCAATCAATTCAGCCACTTCAACCAAAACTTCACAAATTTATGCAAAATCAACCAATGCAAGTATGCAACTGATTTGGGTATTAACACACAGGGCTCCAAGTCTACAAAAAATTATGACAAACAAAGAGGAGTCCATAATCATCTCATAGGTAGCAAAAAAGGCCAAATACATTTCACATAAATACAAAAAAGAAGGCCAACTCCAACCAAGAAATAAAGCTAGGAAACCAATTTGAAGGTTATATTAACTAGAGCCCCAATGAGAATGTCAGAATACACTTCAGAAATCTACCATTTCTTCAACTCCATGCCATCCGGAGGGCTTCCTTCAACCTTCTTTGATCCCACCTCTTTCCAGTTTGTTGAAAGTACTGTCCCATTTGACTCAACCTGTGCCATTCAATAGAAAGCATTCATTAGATAATTATCAAACGCACAATATATAAAATAAAAACGGACAAAAAACATGCAAACATTTGCTACAACACGACATAATGTAAAACAGGAGGTTGAAGTAAGGAGGTTGAAGTAAGACAGGCTGTGAAATTAGGATGTTTTTACTTGGACTGTAATTCGTCCCAGACCAGACCAGACTAGACTTGGATAGTTATAAAAATACAAAGAAACCAGACCAGACCAGACCAGTTCAGACCAGACCAGCAAATTACAGTCCAAGTAAAAACATCCTTATATGTATACCAGTGCATGTTTCATGTATGTACTTGAGTAAATAAACCATTCAATAGTAATATAATAATAATATCATGTCTAAATTTGTAAAAAACATGGGTAAAGGGCTCACAAAAGATTTCATCATGGCTCTTCTAGTATCCTCATCAGCATCTTTGTATATTCCTTGGAAAAATTTGTTCAGCGCTGCATCACCGTCCAATTTTTCATCTTTCTCCTAAAAAAATAATACATTAAATTTGTGGTCAAGGATAAGCACATAGTCTTTGGCATGTGTATGTGCACCAATGCCAAATGGAAATTGTAATACCTACCTCCTTTTTCACCTGAGCTTCTAATTTATCCCAGTCTTTTCTCTTGGGTTTCGAAGAAGGGTAGGAAGGTCTTTGGCTCTCTATGAACAGCAAAAAGTATAAAGCAAAACATTAGCATCCTAATTTATGAAGGTTGCTTATAAGAGTAAAAGAACTTCAACTAACCAGGGAAAATAATTTTAATTAATTAATCAACTAGAAACAGGTTCTTCATGAGTTCATATAATGTGCAGAAGGTAAAGTACGTCAATATTACTCCGGATGAAATATTGACAAAACATATAAACCCACACATTTAGCAGAGTAATTGTTCTACTGCGTTGAACTGTGTATACTTATATTTCTACAATGACTGGCTGGTAATAACACGGAACAACAAATTTTGATGATAATAAAACTTACCAGATGACACAGCAGCTGCCCGACGTACAACAGTAACTTCCTTACTATACTCAAGACATGCCCAATGAATAGCTTCAGATTTTGCAAGGCGGATTTCAATTTTTGTGGACATGACCTCATATCTGCACTTTTCTGGAATTATCTGTTTGAATTGAAAGGCAGCCACAAGTAAAAAGCATTAGCAACTTTTTATGATGCTGAGATGGACTCACTGGAAACAGTGCACAAAATGAAATATAGAGTACATGGTAAGTTGGTACATTGAACACGAAATCCAAGCTATGTAGCGAGTAGAGACTAAAGCAATAACTACATTCTATCAATAATATATATTTGACAACGTTTCACAAGGTTAGGAAGAGAACTAAGGGAGTGGACAACCTCTAACCAAATATTCGTCAAATCAGCTTATCCACATATCTACATCAAAAGATGGCAGACTAAGTGTTCTCAAAACCGAACATCTACTTACATTACTAGGTACTACATAATTAGTCATTAGTCGTTCAACACAAGCAGCTTACAAGGTTGTCAGTAACATACATGTACTTGAATTTATTAATTTAAAAAAAAAAATCCAAGTTTAAGACAATCATATCACCTTGCCAAACAACCTTGGCTGGAAGGTAAATGTATCTCCATCAGGTGCATCAATTTTAACGCTAAGCTGCAGTTTAGAGAAGAAGTATAAGAGTTTGCAAGTAATAGTATTTCATTATTTCTCAACACCTACAGTCAAGAGGAAATATAAGAGTTTGCAAGTAATAGTTTATACATCTCAAGGACATAGAATTTCAAACATACTATTTGTTCACCAAAGTCGATGGCAACATTCTGTGCTGGTATGCCCTTCGCAAATATAGTAACAACCACTTCGTCTGGTTTCTGATAGAATTCATGCCTACAGTAGATTTCGAAAAATGTAAAAAACAGGAAAATAGAGTTGAAAAGTTTCTGGCAGGCATGAATCGACTAGTGACATAAGAGCTACAAATTTCTAATACTTAGAATTTATAGAATAGTGCATTTATGTTCATAGCATGTAAGATTCAACATGTATCGTGCATTGAAGTCCAATTTCAAGTACGAGAAGAGTTTCACAAAATGGAAAAGACAAACCTATATTTAGGCTTCACAGCTGTTTGATCATGGTGAGATAAGTCAAAAGGTGGCTGGGAGTCCTTTGTTCTTTCTGATTGTGTGGGGGCTGCAACATTTATTGTGGTTGCATCAGCTTGTTCCCTAGCTTCTTCTGGATGAACAAAGAAAAAGTATCCATACCATTGTTAGATAAAAATACTATTAGCAAGTCTTCAAAATGTCTTTAAAGTATACCCTCTCTGGTCATTCTAAGAAAGCTTTTAGGAGTTTATTATCTATCTTGTAAGGCAATGTTTTTTCTATGAAGCATTAAGCAATTATAACTTTTTCCGTGGTTTGACACTGATAAATATTGTGCTCATATTTACTTTATAAAAGCACTCATTTAAGAGGCATGCAAAACAGGGTAAATTGGAATATCATAATATTTTATGGGGCTCAAGAAAAAAAAAATGTTCCCTGGTTTGTGTAATTTGGTCAGTTGTGTTTTAAAATAAGGAATTAAGGTCCACAACGACTACTCCTTAAATTTCGGTAAAATAATTTCTCTATACAGTCTTGACTATACAATAAAAAGGAACTAGCATGAAAAAACAATAAAATCAGCACTTATGAAGGGAGCACTTAACCTGCAATGAGCTCATCACATTCTTTAATCAAATCATTGAATTTTTTCTTCAGCTCTATCGGTGCCAAAGAAACACCTGTTTCCAATGCAGCTTTGGCAGTCTGGTATTCTTCAAGCTTCAAGCAGGCCATGCTGTAATTATAAAGTAAGTTACCATTACGGAAAGTTTAGATTTGTGCCTCACGTTTTCTTCTAATTTTAAGTTAGCACCCCATTTTTAATCATTACTATTTACACCCAACCATTAGGAAAACCTTTTAACAGGCTTTAGCATTGTTTGACATCGCACCTAGAAGATTGTTCCAAATTACACATTTTTTCTTCCAAATTGGAGTTTGCATCCCTTTTGAAAACACTGCTAATGACTTTTACCAGCCAACAGCCGAGTAAAAAATTTATTAAAAATGGGGTCTGAATTAAAATTAAGAAGAAAAGTGGGGTGCAATTTCCAATTTTACCTTATAATTCAATCCATATACGTGAGAATGCGAGATATAGAAGCATCAAAGATTCACAAGCCATAAGAATGAACATAATTTGTTCTGAGTTTTTCTTATGAGATTCACAAGTGTCAATATATAAAAGAAACTAAGGTAACCAGATACTACCCACAGCCATGGAGAGAACAAGAAAAAGAAAGCACTCACCCTTTACGTAAATAAGCTCTAGCCATTGAGGGATCCAACTCTACTGCCTTGTTCGCATCCGCTACAGCTTCTGCTCACAAAAGGCGCAGCATAAAAACAACTCTAAGGATTAAAGACCATCCGTTTGTGCCCTTAAAGCACACGAAATTAAACATATCAATCATAACATACGAAAGGGTATAGCATTAAACTCCGTTACAAAGCCATTGAATAAATAAATGAGGGATAAAACATTTTTAAATGGGGGGCTACCAATTGAAATATCAGAGTTTCACTAGCACACTATAACAGCACCGTATCCGAGAAGAGCGAGGGGGAAGGAGAAGAAGATACCGGTGAAGTTTTGGAGCTTAATGTTGGCCTGGGCGCGGTCGACGAAGAGCTCGGCGTTGTTGGGGCTCAAAGCGATGGCTTGAGAGTAGAGATCAACGGCCAATTCGAAGTGGTCGTCGATAAAGGCGTCCTTAGCCCTGCGTTCCAGATCAGACGCCATTGTTTTTCCACCCGAATTCAACGAAGGTACACCCAGAAAAAGGAATACCAAGAACTCTCTAGAATTGGAGCAGAAGGCCGAGAGCGTTTTATACGGAGTAATTCACTACTCCCTATAGACGAACTCTTGACTAGCCTTTCGATGCTGGGTCTCTTCTTTTCCTAATAGAAGTGCCATCTATATTTATTTAAGAAAAAACAGAAATACATAAATCAATAGAAATAATGAGAACAATATATGTACGAGTATATAAAAGAGGAACTTTTTAAGAGAATACAAAGCATCACATAATCCTGCCATGTCATTATATATAACAATTATTTACTTATTTTTATACTTTTTGTTTTTATTAGATTCTATTTTTGATTGAATATTGATATGGAAACAAAAAATCTTATAAATCCACCTTAATTAATTTGGTAAGCTTCAAATAAGTAAGATAATTTTTGGTTATCAAAGTGAAATTCTAATAACGTTTATTGATATGGAAACTAATTTATATTAGTTTACTACACCGAATTAAATAGAAACAAATATGCAAATTAGTTTACTTATTAATTTGACACCTATTAATAAATTAGTAAGCTTCAAATAAGTAAATAATTAAAAATGAAATTAAAAATTATAACCAACATAAAGTATATATATTTTCACAAGTAAATATGTTTAGCTTAGCCAAATAAGTAAATTTTTTTGGTTGTTTCTTTATTTTACATCTACAATTCAAATATGCCTTCACTTTTGAAATAGATTCCTAATCCAAATTAGAAAATCTTTATAGGTTTACGAATTCCTACTTTTATTTTAATAGAATGTTTTTAATTGGATTGATTTCAGTTCCAGATTAAATCAGATCAGATCAAACTTTAATAATTATAACAATAAGTCACATAAAAAACAGACATCTAATAGACCATACTAATTCATACCAAATCAAACCCGAAATTTTAATTCAATTAAAAACGTTCTTATTGATGAGTAAACTGTAAATTTTGGGTGCAAGTACACAATGTGCCGTATGATCTCATTAATTTAGGGGTGGCTAGGAGCCTAGGAGAGTGGGTAATTTTATTGGTAATTTTATCAGCTTTTATGAAAGTCAATTTGAGGACCGTTGGAATTCTTATATGAGAATTAGAGTATCCATGGATGTAGGTAAAGCTCTGAAAGTGGGGACGACGTTGCGAAAAGGGAGGGGTATAGGGCACAAAGTGGATTTTAAATACGAAAAACTACCTAGCTTTTGCTTTACCTGTGGTATTATTGATCATGCTGACAGCCTTGACAGGTTTTGCCCCTTGGCATATGATTGTGGAAACAAACTACTGACTAAACCTTTCGGAGTCCATCTCCGTGCTGGGGGGACTCGACCGATGAGGGCTAATAAATGGCTAGTTACTTAAGGCGTTTCAAATGGAATTGGGCCGAGTCAGAAGGTAATTCACCAGAGTGCAACAAGTGGCACAGAGGAGGTAGAGATGCAACGTGGGATATCTACTGCGGTGGAAACTAGCATGAAGGAAGGGATGGGGGGACAAACAACCGACATGGAGGGCTTTCCAGGAGAACAGAAACGCAGAAGAACGTGGGAGGAGAAGCACCATGAGGATGAATCAGAGGATAATATGATAGTGGACCTCTCAAAAAACGGAGCAGGGACGGGTCTAGGTATCTAGATCCGCCAAAGGATGGGAGAATATCCCAGAAAATGGGAGATTGAAGGCTTTTGGTCAGCTGCGGGTGGATGCAGCTGAATTCCCACTACTTTATGTTTTTTATCTTTTTCCGCTTTGATCAGACTGTCGTTGTTGTTTTTTGCTATTTTTTATTCCACCAAACTCTTGCATTAGGTTGGAGTGATGAGGGGTTTCCTCTAACCACGTTAGGCTCATTTAGACCCATTATAGGATCAACGAGCCATATTGCTTTGTCCAGGGTGATTGGCTCTAAGTCTGGTTCGAGGGTCGGTGGTTGGAAGTGGTCCTTTTATTGTCTTGTTCCCTTGCTGAATGCTTTGATATCAATATAAGCCGTCTTTTTCCAAAAAAAATGAGTAAACTGTAAGATCTAACAATTAAGAAATATAGAAATTTTTTTATTATTGGGTTCATAACAATTATGTTTACTTGAGATGCTTGTGTAGAAGATCAATTTAACTTTTTTCACATATTTTTTTCTTTGTTTCACAAATAGAATATATTTCACATATATTTTTCATGATTCAGAAGATTCTACCTATTTAACCAGAATTCAATCAATTTCAGCAAAATAAGTTAATTCTATTCACTTTAGTATTATCAAACAAACTCTATATTAGACTAAGTTTATTTTTCTTTTAAATCACATTATATGTGATCCGATAGAAATTAAATTTCAAATTAGCTAAATTACATATGTCCGTGCATCGCACGGGCTTGAAAGCTAGTACATAAATCAATAGGAATGAGATAGATATGAGATAGATATCTGAATGTGGTAAATAAAAATGCTGACTTTGAAAATGAAACAAATCTTGTCAAAAAATTAAACAGATCTTTCACCAATGATTAAATAAGATGATATGAGTATAATTTTATCAGGGAGAAAGGTGTCTGACCAGTTGCATTTTTCGGTGTTGTCCTATCTGCCCATAAAATCAGGAGTAATTCGTCGGCCCATTTTCCTTGTGCCTTCTCAAGCCTCTTCTTCAGATTTGCCACTATGATCTTATTGCTTGATTCAGCCTGTCCGTTTGATTGTGGATACCTCGGTGTCGACATCACCAGCTTGATGTTGTACGATTCACAGAACCGTCTTGTTTTTGAACTGATGAATTGTGACCCACTATCATAGATGATCTCTGATGGGATGCCAAATCGGCTCAGGATGTTCCTTTTGATGAAGGATATGACATGGACGTCCTGGATTTTCCGGAAGGGTTCCGCTTCAATCCACTTTGAGAAATAGTCGGTCATTGCTAACATGTAGACCTTCTGGCCGGGAGCTTCGGGCAACTTTCCGACGATGTCCATTCCCCACTTCATGAACGGCCACGGTGACAACTGACAACAGTGGATGGAGTGCTTCGGGATGTTGGTAGTAGATAGGTGTGTGCCTTTGACAAGGTAAACACGCTCGAGTGTAGATGACAACATCTTGTCTCATAGTTGGCCAATAATAGCCAAATCTCAGTGCCTTGTTGGACAAACTCCCGCCAGCAGCATGGTTACCACACTCCCCTTCATGGAGACTTTTGAGAACATTGTTGGCCTCGTGTGATGTTAAGAATCTTTGGTATGGTCCTGCCATTGAACGTTTAAACAACACCCCATCAATTAGTAAAAATTTTGTTACATTGGATAGGAGTGCCCTTGCTTCCCATTTGTGAGATGGAAGAATGTTGTACTTCAGGTAGTCGGTGTATGGTTTCATCCAGTTGTCTGCATCTGATTCAACGATGTTGACAGATTTAGGTTTGTCGATGGCTGGCCTCATCAGGTGAATAAATGGTATGTTGTCGTTGCATTCGGCTCCTAGACATGATCCCACTGCTGCTAGAGAATCTGCCCGTGTGTTCTCCTTTCTTGGGACTTGTTGAAAAGTGATCTCATCGAAGAAAGTCGACAATTCCATGACGACTTGTAAGTAAGCCATCATCTTTGGATCCTTGGCTGCATAAACTCCGTTAGTCTGATTAATAACTAAAAGGGAATCACAGTTTACCTCAAGTGCTTTTATGCCCAGATCTTGTGCTAAGTTCAACCCGAAGATTAGTGCTTCATACTCCACTTCATTATTTGTTGCGTCGAATTCACAACGGACAACTTGCTGAATGATGACCCCTTGTGGTGACTTCAGGACAACTCCCAATCCTGCCCCCTGCATGTTTGAAGCTCCGTCAGTATGTAATACCCATTTCTGTCGAGACGGTCCTTCTATAAGTAGACAAGTTTCCTTTTGAGCTTCCACTTGCAACTTAGGGTTGAAGTCCGCCACAAAATCGGCTAAGCATTGTGACTTGAGAGCTGTCCTTGGCTCGTATCTAATGTCGTACACCCCTAGCTGTATTGACCACTTCACCATCCGACCTGTTAATTCGGGTTTCCTCATGATTGACTTCATGGGATAGCTAGTGCGGACACAAATACTATGTGATTCGAAATAAGGGCGTAATTTAACGGAAGCGGTAACTAAAGCCAACACTAATTTTTCTAAAAGTGCGTACCTGGACTCCGGTCCATTTAGTGACTTACTGGAGTTACTGATGTAGTAGACAGGAATTTGTTGTCGTTCTTCTTCTCTGGTCAGGACTGCACTGACGGCATACTCTGATACGCCCAAGTACAATTGCAGCTCTTTGTCGTTCTTAGGTTTGGCCAACAGAGGGAGAGTCATCATGTATTTCTTCAACTGTTGGAGTGCTTGCTCATGTTGGTCTGTCCACTCGAACTTCTTATTCTTTCTAAGGACATCATAAAACGGGCGGCATTTATCTGATGACTTTGATATAAAGCGGTTAAGGGCAGCAACTCGTCCAGTCAGTCTCTGAACATCTTTGATGGATTTGGGTGACTCAATGTCGAGGATGGCTTGAACTTGTTGTGGGCTTGCTTCAATTCCTCGCTCGCTAACAATATAGCCCAAAAATTCTACTGAGGTCACCCCGAAGGTGCATTTGGCCGAGTTGAGCTTCAGATTGTATTCTCTTAGTTTTTTGAATGACTCGCGCAGATGGTCGACATGGTCTTCTTGTTAGGAAATTGATGTAATGTACCTCGAAAATAAAGCAACGAAAGTTTAAAATTTTCCCAAACAGATCTTCCCTGATTATGACAAAACAACGAATATGATAATAATAACAGATCTGAGTTAGAACTTACAGATCTTCCAGCCTAGATCTCCCATAGATCTCCCATAACTTAGGTATCCACATGATTTCTCCTTTCCGAATGAACGGTTAGATCTCCCATAGAGAAAGGCTAGGAAATCTCTTCGCAAGGAAATAAAATGGTAATACTGAATCTAGAAAACTAATCACTAATTATGAAGGAGGTGGATGTATTTATACTAGTTCTAAACTAGTTTCTCAATCACAATGAAAGTCTTTCTAATTAATGAGTTCTAATCCCGCTAGGACCAATACTCCTTATTAATTAAATAAGTAGATAAAACAAACCAAA